CCTTTCTCCTATATACCAAATTCATCATCATCTGATAGAAAATATATTGATGGTTCAAAACTTTCATTGGAATTGACTGATGGTTGGTATAAAATAAATGCATGTATTGATCCACCATTACAACGAGCTATAGTGAAATCTAAAATAAAAATAGGTTACAAGCTTGAAATTTGTGGTGCAAAGGTTTATGGAAAATCTGTTGGCAAAACTTCAGCTTTAGATGAAACAAACTCCATATGCTTGAAATTATCAGGAAACTCGACGAAACTTGCCCATTGGGACTCCAAGCTTGGATTCAGAAAGTTTAGACCATTTGCTTCATTAAACAGCCTTACTCCAGATGGTGGATTTATTTTTGCAATTGATGTTATAATAATGCGAAAATATCCTTTGATGTACCGTGAAACAACTAAAGATGGAATATATATCATACGCAATGAAAAAGGTGAAGAGTTGGCTCGTAGAAATTTCGCAGAAAAGATACAGGGAAAGATACAATCCTTACTGCAAGACTATGATTGGAGATCGCCACAACAAGATTCTAATAAATTAGAAATAAATGATGACAATAATACTTCAGCAAGCAATGCCAAATTCAAACAACAGAAACAAGTAATTACCAAACAATTAATACAAAGTCTTACATCTGCAGAAGAATTATATAATTTATTGCAGAATAATAGCGAGTATTCTAATCGAATCATTGAATACTTGAGTTTTGATCAGAGTAGATGGTTGAATGATTGGTTGAATAGAAAAGAGATGAGTAATTTAAATGAAAGGAATAAGTGGCTTAATGAGCAATTGGAATCAGTAGATTTGAAAAGTGTTCGTTCTGTTATTCCATTCTTTAAAGTACGTGTGTGTGATTATCACAGTCAATCTAAAGCTATTAGAAAGGCTCAATCAAAAGTTAACAGAGAAGCATTGATCACTATATGGAATCCTGCTAGCTCTTTATATGATTCTATTCATGAGGGACAAAGATATCAGATACATTCGTTGATGGTAGCCAATAATCAATCATATGATCCAAATTTATCATCAACAATTTCTTTGATACATCTGACATCAATAGGACATACAACAATATGGAGAAAACAAAAGGCAGATTTAAATGAAATTAGGAATTCGTTATATAGACCACGGGCTGTTACGATTTATGACGAAGCGTACAGGATAAGAGCAATGACAATGACAATAAGAACGGGTCTAGTTCATCAATGTCAAGAAGAGCATGACATTGTGGTAGTTGTGTTGGCGGTCGGAGAAATAGTAGAGAAGATACGATATGGTATCACTATTGAAATACAAACTGCTATTGCCACAGATATCAGTGGACAGTTTGTGTTTATCGAATTCAATAAATCGTTTTTTATTGATTTAGATAATTTATTAATACCCAAGAACATATTGACTATTATTAACTTAAGACATGCTTATTATGATTCAAATTATAGGGTTCACATGCTTTCAACATGTGATGTGACAGTGATCAAGCAATTTCCTTCTGAAGATTACTTGAAGCAAGCCAGATCAAGGCTTGAATCTTGGGTCAAAGTTAATGGATCAATTCTTAGTGTTTATGAATCTAATGCAAAAAAACTGTGTAAATCACTTTCACCCTAGTTGGTTTAATTGTTTTTTTAATAATTTTTAAATTTTGAGATTAAATATATTTTATAACTTTATTTACACATCCACATGATTGAATTTGGCATCTTGCATTTTCTTCAAGGTAGCAATTGGTAGACAATGCACTTTTACAATCGATCTATTCATGTACTTTTATTACATCTAGATCTTTTTCATGTATTAGTTATATCAATTTTTAATAAAATAATGATTGATCAGAATGTATTTGATGTATTAGTATTTAAAAATTCTATATACAAAAAATTAAATTGTAAGCAGAATTTTATTGTACTAGTAATAAATTTGACTATATAGTAAGTAGAGTTTATTATTACATCATCGGTTTTATTTTTGTACACATCTGATATTGGGTATGATGTGCTATTTAAACATGATTTTGTTTCTTTCTTGATTCATTAGCTTCCCGAAGATTAGGCAATTGATTAAACCTAGCTACAGTATCAGGACTTGGTTGGGTATAAATCATAATTAATTTGAAAGGGAATATGTAACACCAATTAGTTCTAATTGATTGTGTATTTATAACATTTCTAATCTTACATCTGTATTATCAATCTGATGATGTTTATGGTAAAAATTTGCTAAAAAAGGCTTGTGATAAAGAGTATAAAAATAAATGTTGATAGATAATATGTGGTGTTACACTATCAAGTATAGTGTACTTAATAGCTGTTTTTGATTTCTTTGTAGTAGTTGATGTTTCAATTAATGAGCTGTTGTTATGGTAATTGTTGTTTTTGTTATTGTCAATGTTACTATTACTATTAATGCTTTTTAAAGAGGTTCTGACTTTTATCATATCATTGTCTTTTGAAGGTTTAATGCTTGAAGAAGAATGTTCGGAAACCTTCATTGATTCTTTTGATATAGATTTAATTTTTCTTTTGAATCCAGTCGAAAATCCAGAAATAGTATTTAATATATTATCGGAAGAAGGAGAAGAAGTGTGTTTAGAATCGCCTAAACACTTGTAGGCTCTTTCCTTTGATTCTTTAGATATGGGAGCAATTTTTTTCCCAGAACCCGTGGTAAATCCAGAGATTTCTGAAGAATTGTTTGATGTATTATTGAAAGGAAGAGAGGCAGAATGTTCAGAAACATCAAAACACTTGTAGGGGTTTTCCAATGGTTCATTAAATGTAGGAGTAATGATTTCCTTGAATCCTGTGGATAATCTTGAAAATTCCACATTAATACTACTACTACTATTATTGTTGTTACCATTGTAAAAGTTTCCACCACCATCATTATTATAATTAGACGGTCTTGATGATGTAGTTTCATCAAAGTTATTAATACAATTGTTATTATTGCAACTATAATTCATGAATAGAATATCATTATTACCATCTTCAACAACATCTTGTAAAGAAGATAATTTTCTAGTTTTTGTCCAAGTATTCATTGAAACTTCAGGAAGTTTATGTTTGCTGGTCAGCATAAATTCAGGATCATCATTATTAGCATCATAGTTATTGTTGTTATTTTTAATAATAATGTTGTTAGAATTGCCATGATTGTTATTGTTATTGTTTAACATATGATCATAATCAAAATTATTATTTTCTATGTAATAATTATTATTGCCATTTAATAAAGGTGTTGTTAGTGTTTGATTGATGTTATTGTTGTTGTCAATATTTATAAAATTTTGTAAATCCCCTCTCATACTAATACAATGATCAATATCTATGTTAGGATTATATTTGATGTAGTTGATGTTCGTATTATTATTAATTTTACGAAAAGGTGTTGGGCTTTCATTGAAAATATGATTATTGGTGTAGTTATCATCATCATCATTATAACAGTGATCGTTATAATAATAATGATTAGATTCTATTAGATCAGATTGTGACGATACTAAAGATGTTAGTTGTATATATTCCTTATTATTGACTTATTAATTCAACAAAAAAATGAAATATTTATTTGAGATACTTTTCCTTGATCTATACAATTATATGTATATTGCTTACCATCAACAATTAAAGATCTTTCATGGTCAAGGTTATTGTTATAATTGTTGTACCTATTATCATTTACAGTTGAAATAGTAGCAGTAGTAGCAGTGTTGATAGTAGCAGTGTTAACAGTAGTAGCAGTGTTGACAGTAGTAGCAGTAGTATTTGAACCTGGAAAAGATTTAACAGGCGTAGGAAGAATATTAAAAGTAGTGGGAATATTTGACATTATTTCAGTATGTTGTTGTTGTGTTATTTATTATCAATATTATTAATATCACACTATTTATCAAGTAGAATTAACTTATAAGCAAATAACTATTTTGAAAATAAAACGCGTCAGGGGAAGGAAATAATTATTAAACAGGGCCCCTGAATAGACCACACTTGTGTATTTTCTGTCACGCGTCAATTTAACATTTTGGAATTAAAGGAATTAAAGATAATGAATTAATTAATATTTTGTCAATCAGTAAACTTGTTACAATAAAGTACATATTATATATAATTCATATAAATTGTAGCAAGTTATATCACCATACTTAAAAATTATACTTTTTTTTCCTTTAATTTTCTTTTGAAATAAAAGTATGAACAACAATATTATTGAAATTTCCAATATCGAAAATTTTCAAAACAATCTAAAAGGTACATAATTTTCATTATATAATAATTGATTTTTATTTTTTATTTATATTAAAATATTTTTTATAATGTTAAATAATAGATTGTTGGGTCTATATTAATAACAATGATGATAAAATCAAAAAAATCATAGAAAATTATAAATATGATAAAAATAATAATGAAAATAACAATGATGATTGTAATTATGATTATGACAGTTATATTGAAGATGATTGTTGCGCTGGTGACATTAGCGATGAAGATAATAATAGTGAAACTGGTGATAAAGATATTAATGACAATGACGATCTGATGATGTTACTGCTGCTTTTACTTTCACTTATACACTTACCATCACTACTGATAATAATATTGATATTAACAATAATTACACTAGTCATAGTATCATAGATTAAAGTAGCAAAAGATTTGTTTGCACGTCTCCAGGATGTACAAAAAAGTATTTAGTTAAAAATCATATTATTACCATATAAATTTCATGCTGTTCCCCTCTAAACGCTAGATATTATAATGAATCACGTTCAATTTGTGTCACCTTGTCCATTATTTGAAAAGAAGCAGACTAAAACCATTAAACAACACATTTATGAAAATATACACGCTTAAATTTACAATTATTTAGCAAACTTATTTCTTAATCATGAGATATATAGCATTTATTAAATAATTAACAAAATGTTATTATAAATAGCAAATGGTGATAATGATTAATCAGTTTTAATTGCTGAAACTTCATGTAAATAAGCACCAAGCAATTTGATTCCTTGTATATAGTTAGATAAATCGAGTTTTTCATTAGTAGAATGAGCTCCCTATATTATTCAATGAATGAGTGAATGAACGAATTAATTAATCAATCAGCAGATATCAAACAACCCCGTCAATCAAGAAATATTCAAGTTGAATGTTATTTGAAAACACACAAAATATAAAATATAAAATATAATATGGACTTACATCATCGCCTCTACCCATTGGAAGTAAAAGAACATTTTTTCCTAATAAATCTTGAAAAGTCAAAGTTACTGGGATAGATCCACCTTCACGTGTAAAGTCTGGTCTACAATTATAAACTGATTCAACAGCCTTTGATGCAGCAACTAAAAAAAACCAAAAAATTTAATAATAATAATAACAATTATCAATAATAAAAGCTCATATTTTACCAAAATTCCAATGATTTGGACTTGCTACCCATGCTTTTGCACCATGTAAGGTCTCTAATTTAAATTGATTTTTAGTTCCGAGTTTTTCAAATTCCTTTCTTAAATAATCTTCCGCTAAATTTTTAACTCGCTCAGGATCCATGTCTGGTACTAATCTAATTGAAAACTTTCCTCTGACACTGCAAGGTATGACTGTTTTAGCGCCTGATGCAGAAAATGCTCCTTCAATACCATGTAAAGAAAGCGATGGATAACGCCATCTATAATGATAATTAACGATGATAAAATTTTTAACAGTAGTAATAATAGTAGTAATGATGATGACGATTATGATGACAATATTAATAACCTATTCATTAAAGTTGGTTCTTTATCTTCAAAAAGACTAGTTTTGGATCCAATAGCTGAATGCAATTCATGAATACCAAAATCAATCGATTTATAAGTTTCCTTTTCTTCATCTATAAATAAATACATATATATATATATATATATTAAAATTTATAATTGCAAAAATAATACACGAATTTTTTCTTCCCTCAATAATTAATTACAGAATTTACCAGTTAATGCTGCAACGTCGTCTAAAATTCCAGGTATTAGAATTTCGCCGTTTGGTTTTACCAATTTACTTAAAAGGTAAACCAAATCCGTCATTGGTTCATAAACAGTTCCTCCAAAAACACCAGAATGAAGATCTCTACCAGGCCCACTTACAATAAGCTCAAAATAACAAATTCCCTATGAATATATTTAAAAGTAATAAATATTCATTTATCCAAAGTCGTTCGAATTTTTTAATTTCTTTACAAAATATAAATATATAATATGTGATATTTACTCGAAGTCCATATGTAAGACATGGTTTAGTTACGCCAAGCCAATAATTATCAGAGATGCAAACTGCATCCACATCTTTAAAATATCTTTTTGCTTCTTTAGCAATCAATTCGTCTAAATTTTCTGATCCACTTTCCTCCATTCCTTTATTAATTTAAAAGAATAATGAATTGAATATATATTGTCAAGCAAAGAATAAAAACAACAATTGAATAAAGAAATCACCTTCAAAACAAATTTTCAAATTCACTGGAAATTCAATTCCTGCTTTTTGATGAGCTTCAATGGCATTTAACCATCCAATGATTGGTCCTTTATCATCCGAAGAGCCTCTTCCTACCATACGACCATTAGAATCAGTAGTAAGTTTCCAAGGATCTGAATCCCAACCATCTTCAATCAACGCCTTAATTATATTAAACATAGATGATATATATAGTGATATATATGTATATGACAAATTTTATCAAAAAAATATACGTAATATATAATATTCTTACAGGTTGAACGTCATAATGCCCATAAACAAGGATAGTCTTTTTCTTTGGATCATTTCCATAAGTACCCAATAAAATAGGTGGTAACTTTAAAGTCTTTCCTGCCATTTGATGAGTACCAATATCAGCAATTTCGTAACTATTTTAACGTGAACATGAACATTAACAATATAATTTATTTGAGCCATTGGAGTTTTTTTTTTGAAATTAATTATTAACCTAACACCCAGTTTTTGAAATAATTTAACAAGCCATTCGCTCATTTTAAATACATCATCTCGGTATTGACAATCACCACTTACGCTGTTTATTCATAATTAAAAATAATTAAAAAATTAAATTAAATTAAATTAATATTATAATTGCTTTATTCTAATTCTTGTATTTTTTACCTTGGAATTGCAACTGCTTCTTTTAACCTTTCAACATAAACATCTTTGGATTGGTCTACACTGTCGAAAAATTTTTTTAAGACTTCTTTATCACACATTATTATTATTATTATTATTATCTTGAAAGCTTGGAAGTATTTATGTGTTAATGGACCTTGATCATCGTCATCTATAAAACTTTAAATTTTATTAAATGGTCACGAGAGATAAATTTGCAAATCACGTCGTATTAGGAAAATAACATGCGATCGTGGTAAAAAATATCACTTATTTATTGTTATTATTATAAATATATTAATATCCATTTAATCGAAAAAAATCATGAGGGAGACAAATAATATAATAATAATAATAATAAATAATAATAAGTGCCATAACCTAACGAACAAATTCATACATATCTATTTCATTCTATATGTAATAATAATAGCATAGTAATATTTGAACCAATTTTAATATTAGAAGTCGCTGGTTTTTAAAATGAACATACATATTTCATTCTAAACGTTATAAGCATATAACAAAAACAATAAAATAAATTATAA